GCCTAAACAGATGGTCCGCATCATCATTCGCTGACCTGATTTCCTAGATCGCAGAGATTTGCTGTTCGAGGGTTTTGCGGGTAAGTAGACGTGCAGGCATTTCTTAGAGTGCACTTCGAGAGTCCAAACAGCTGGGTATATCGAGTAAGGAGGTGTGACGGCAAGTTCTTTTCTATGGGCCTACTTCGGGCATGAATTTCCGGTGAGGGTGGTCCCCGCTAAATGTTCGTGTGTCGTGTCCTGTTAAAATAAAAATTGTATTAAACACGTGGAGAAAGGAAAGAAAGCGTGGAGACCTTAGGGAAATGTTTGTAAAACTGATGAACATAATTTAGAAATTGTTTTCATGGTCGAAGTCAAACTCGTATAAATAAATAAACGCGGCGAGTTGGGTTTTCGGCACAAAAACAATGACTGAACCGGCATTTTTGTTACCTATTCAGGAAGACTGCAAACCGGGAACCTTAAAGTGGTTGCAATGTGTTTTGTGTCACTTATAAATAATAATAAAGAAAGAGAGATTACGAAAGAGCTAAAAACGACCGCCTTTTGGCGACCACAGCAATCTGCAGTAAAGCTCATTAACCTAAATTGTTTTTTTTTTATTTTTTTTTCCGCGGAGTTGTTTGAAGTCTTGAGTAAGAAAGTTTCATTTTCGTAATCCTAGGATTCGCATCTTATGCGCACGCCTTTGTTGTAGGTTCAAATGAAGGGGCGAGCTCGTCAGAATAACTCTTTCGACACGCTCGTACTAAAGAGCGCGTGCCTACTCCGCAGGCATCTGGCAGCAGCACCTACTCTTGTTTTTTTTTTTTCTGTTAACCAGGAAAAACGAGTCGCGTAGTTATCTTCTCCTAAGCTCCGCTCACCGTTAACCTGACAGTGCGGTGTCAGCCAGGCCCTCGCCGGTCACATAAACAGCCTCTCTTTCATTCCGTGACCGGGCCCTCAGCGCGTGAGAGAGAACCGGAACAGACATCACCTGCCGAAGGGTAAACGCTAACTGGTCTAACCAGCACGTACCTTACATCGCACTGTCAGCTTAGAGCTGAAGGGAGCGTAAGGCTTTCCCAATGTCTGCTTGTTTTTTAAACGCGAAGAAAACTGGTTCCACCGCAGTGTGACATCGTCTGGCGACTGGGCGGATGCAAATACGGCGGCTCGGTGAGCTGACTCTTTATTGTGTTTACTATTAGCGGCACATGTATTTGGACACCGAGAGTGACAAACAACTTTCCGAACCTAAACTCTCTTGAGAATCTGGTTGCCCTCATATTGTAAGGAAGGTCGCCTTAAGGTTCCGTTATGCCGACGGAAAGTTGGCCTTGGCTTCTTTATTCATCCGCCCGCTTTGAAGAGTGCATGCAAAGCCATAGGACCACTCTGGCGCAGTGTTGAGAGTATCGTAAATTTATGGCAGTATGGATTACATTTTCAAACGCCCCGATCACGCTTTCCCTGAATTTGTTTAGGAATGAATTTTTCACATCTCGACAATTATTTACTACGAAACGGCTCTTTCATAAAGATTAAACTCACTTTTCGATGTTCCTGAAAAATTATATTTGTGTTCATAATTTTACATAACGATCACGCACCACACATTTAACCTGCATCCTCTCGCTGTACTTTTCTTTTTTTTTCTTTTAATTTTCGCCCAGCATTCCTTCACGAATCAAATGCAGAAACGCGTAAAACAGCTACGAAAATAACACTTTTTGCGGGAGTAATTCCCTTAACTCCCGCCCGCAAATAATAGAAGGTAGCACGGTAGTATCGGGAACAGTCTGACAGGGAACAACGAAGCGCGTACATCCTTCTTACGGGCCGCGCCGAGGCTTCGGCGGCGCCTCCTCGTAACGTTGCGCAGGCGCGGAGATCCACTGCAGCCGTTTGACACTTGCTTTCACGTCTCCTTGCCTCGAACCTGTGGCCGGCCACACGCTCCGGTCGCCCCGTAAGTTGACGTCGGATCAGTCGTACATCTTTCCTTCGCCGTGTAATTACACTCTCGTACATACCCACGCGCACAAAGAGCGGGCTGGGGCGATGAAAGGGAGGCGACTGATCGGCTTAGCGAGTGCGAAGCCTTCACTGCTGCTTGTACGTCGTACAAAATACAAGGTGTCCGCCGTAGACATGAACACCCTGCCTTCAGCCGTGCAGGTACAAAGGGATTGAGTCTGTTCAAAACAAAGCCGTTCGTTTTTTTTTTTTTTTTTCTGCGATTATTTGCTTGTGTTTAGTGTAACGGCACCAAAGTTCACAGCTGTCCTCGAGAACTTGTGCGATAGGCGCAAAGTATGACGGCTATCTTTTATCCGTCGAATGTATTATTATAATCCGTACCTTAAAAGTGAACTTTTATTTCAACCGCATCGACCACCAGCACAAAATCATGCTATCCTTATGTCGCAAGAAACAGTTTTCTGAATCTCCGTTTATGGTGGCAATTCATGAATAGAATGAGCTTCTTGAAAATGTAAGCATACAAGGTTGTTCCAGCTTAGGAGTGCATGTGTGGAATTATTCGAGTCCTTTTTATTTCGTCTCCTCTTTTTGCATGTAGCTGTTATCTATATGTTTATATGTCTGAGTATAAGTGTGCGTGGTCTGCCACATCCTGTTTTCTATGCCGAGTGTTTTTGACTTTTTTTGCTACGATCTTTCCTTGTATTCTATTCCCCTCCTCATGTAATGCCTTCAAGCACTTTGAGGGTAAAATAAACGAAATGAAATGAAATTACAGAATTATGTGCAGACCAACCTCAGGCGTGTTCCACGCACGCTTCCTCCCTTCATACGCATGTTTCGTACATGTCTGCAGAGAGTTTTGATATCCCGAATGTGACAAAAAAGAGACATGCCTCAGGCTGTAGAGAGTTTAAGGGAACCGGTTTTGCACATCTGACACGGTACGCTGGGTCCTGCGATACGCACTGCACAAATGGAAGTCTCCTGCAATTGCGGATGCACACTTCGTACCGGAGGGTACGGATAGGCAAAAACGGTTCCCTAAAGCTCTCTAGTATCTGCACACCTCATTTTACAGGATGTACTTGCACCGCAACTTTAGTGGTGAACAGTGTATTGAATGAGGTCTAATGGCAAGGACGAAACGTGCGAGGAGAAAAAACTCGTCGAATGCGTCTCGTTTAACCACCAGAGAAAGACCCCTTGCGCAAGAAATTGCTTTACATTTTTTTTTTTGGCTTTGTAGGAATCTTTGTTTCTTCTTTTCCGGCGCTGCTAGCGTGTTTTCTCGACTGGACAATTTATCTCTGCCCTTTTTTGTATGTACCTCACACGCAGGATGTTGTGACGAAGCGAATATGTTACAATCTTAGGGAGGTTTGAGATCACGTTGAAATCCCTAAATGTATCTTTGTGGTCAACGTGGTAGTGAGAAAAGTTGTAAAATTTTAGCTACCAAGTCTTTTTCTCCATGTCCGTTCCTTAGAAGTTATAAAGATGAAATACCGCGTGTGGTATGTGTTTCAGGGTTTGCAGGATGAATAAACTTGCAAAATGCTATTGATAACGCGGAAAGTCTAAAGAAAGCGCAATACATTTTCGCTGGAAATACTTTTTTGAAAGCAGAATATTTGCTTGTCACAATTTTGTTTTGTAACTAAGCATATGCCATAATGTCAGTTACTCCCGATCACGTGACTCATCATCGCAAGTTTTCTTCTTTTCCTCGCTACAGAACAAACCTTTGCAATATACATACATCAAGAACAAAGCACGCGAAAAGGTTTATTGCCAAAGTGCATACCTGGGAGGTGGCTTGACATTTTATTTTCAAGAAACAACGTATTCGATATTCGCCAAATATCAAGCTGGAATAAAGTTTCCGAACGACCCCATATTGTTGTTCAAAATTAAACTCCTTATCGTAAAGGCAAATAAAACATTGTACCTTACCTTCACGGATAAATTCAGATAACAAAGTTTTCTACCTCAGACGAGTGAATTTTTCCCTTATAATTAATGTGTGACCAATTTAAAGATTGGAAAATTATCGATCAACATTCCGATTAATCAACTGATGCTTTAATCGCTCTCAGTTGTTGTATAAATTAATCGGTTGGCTTTGGAGCTGGACACATTTTGCGGTACGTCACTTCAGCAATATATGTCACGGTCATTCAGAGGAACTATATAGATAAAACAAAATTGTAAATTGATTTTCCTTAACTTTTTGGCGCAGCGCCAAGTGTCAAAGGAGTCTTTTTGCGATGTGCGTTTGGCAAGTCACGTCTGGTGCGTTGTTCGACATTTAGTTTGCCACTCCTGGGCCCAACAGGGGTTGAATCTTCCCTTCAAGGCTTGTGCCACCACCAGCGGATCGACCCGGCATGTACGGCTCTGCGGAACGGAGGAGACACGCGTGCTGGTCACGAGCGAAGCGCACGTGCAGGGTGTCGAATCAGCATTTGATTCCTGGACATGTTGGAAAGAGGACGATCCTCGAGCGTCGGCTTTCTAGAACAAAGAAAGACGTGAAGCGTCGTTTGAAAGTCAAAAGGCATCGCGTGGAAACGCATTTCGCGAAACTCTTTTAGATCACCAGTTGAGAGAACTCCGAAGCCAAGTTAATATATAAAAAAAAACTGTTGTGTTCGTCACGCCAACATGCCGCAATGTCATCGATTCCGGTGCCGGCAATCCCGAGCGTTCTCCAGGAACCCGGTCCACAACTGGCTGCACATCTTTTTAATGGCATTTTTAACATAGTAAAAAAAGTAATTAAAATTAAAATCTATTTTAAACTTTACGAAGTATAATTCCTGGTCGGGAATAATATTTTCGGCTATTCGACTTGCTCGCCGATGAAGGGTTACCAATTAATCGGTTTAAACCCACGCCTAGTTCTAGTTTTAATAATTAGTAATGTATAACTTTTTTATAGTCACTTGAGACGTCCGGCTGATTTGGCTCCACGGACCCGACCCTGCTTTCTCTGCATCCCTTCCGAGAAAACCAAAGACCGCCTAATGAATCGATCCAGAGCGGACGACCCCAAGGTTGTCGTGCCCATCAGCTCCCTGGGGAGGTTCTCTGACAGGTAAGATAAAGGCGGCTGGTTAATTAATTCTACCACAATTATCCGAATATCTTGATAAATTTAGTATGACTCTTCGGTTTTGAGCGTCAAGTTCTTGAAGTATACAGCTTGAAGTTACACAAGATTATAACGACGTTATAACTGTGTTCTCCTAAGACTTTGTGGAATGAAGTAATGTCTGCCAACGGCAGCGATTTTCTCATTGGTAATTACTACCTTCCGCGGATGTTTCATCCCATTGTCTTCTCTGAGCATATTACATTCCGGAAAGAAACAAATGATTTCTCAAAATTTTGAATGTACATGTATGGCGATTTTAACCTTCTTTGTTAGGATTAGGAGCCGGCCACTTTCTTTGTTAGCAATTCGAACACAATATTGAAGCTACTTTGTTTTTTAGACTTTCTTCATTTCGATAGTTTTGAACAACCTAATAATTTCCGCGTTTGCCGTGGAAACATACTTTACTTCGCTCCGGTCACCTCTGTTGTTAATATTAGTCTCGCCTCAGTGCCGCTATCTTGGGTGGATAACTTTCATCTACCGTTAACCATGTAGTGTTTTTCCCACTTGACAGGCGCATTTTTTATCCATAATCCTGGGTTTCCGAATCAAACGGTGATTACTGTTCCTAATACTAGTATCTTCGGGACTATGGCTCAAGCAGTGTATTGGATGATCAGTGTGTTCAATAATTTATTTACAAACTTCCTTCTATTGTTCAAGGAAACATTCATTTGTTCATATCAAAAAAGGTATCAAGCGAAAGTGACTAAACCTTCTGGTTTTCAAAATAACTAAGACATTGCTTAAAGCCCGTTCAATAAGCAGAAAGAAGGAAGCTTACTCTCCTCTATGTTTTCCTCGCCCTTTTTCCGGCAGCTGAAAGAAGGAAAAAGCCCCTACGTTTTACGTCGCCATTTAGTATTAGAAAATATTAGTCTAGCGGCCAGCTAGCAATGCCACAGAGAAATTCAGAGGCCGCTTGTTTTTTCTTATCCACTTCCCCCTTCTCAAGCTGCCCTTGACTTTGCGCCTCCGACTTGGAGCACCAACAGAGCCGTGGATGCTGCGTGATCGTCGGAGCAGTCATACGCCTATCTTTTCCCACCTGGTGACGCCCCCGCCCTTACTTAGGCGCAGAGAGTGGGGTCACGAGATGAAAGGAAGCGGTTCATTGATTCGGTCACCACGTAGCTCCCAACGCACTGTTAGCTTTGGAATGAACAGCGCATAAACTAAAACTGAAGAAAGCCAAGACTCTATTCTTGTCGTATGCAGGCATCGACATGCCGCAAAGAGCTCATCACGTGGTTCGTTGATTTGAACAAATGTATAAAAATAATTTTGCAGACAAGAGAACATCGACGACAGTTTTTTTCTGAATGAAAACGTTTTTCTCCGTTCGAGGATTTCTATTCTAAATATTTCGCAGTTTTTTTTTCTTCGTTTTTATTATTAGAGCGCCACCCAAGTAAACAATCCTATATGTATATGAAATTCCTTGGCCCAGAAAACGCGTATAATCAAATAAGGTCACATAAGAGCATATAAGAATATGTAACAGCTACATAATATTTAATAAAAAAATACAAGAAGCTTATTTTCAGTTTTTTAATCCTTATATAATATTTTCTTGTTACTATATATTCTTATAAGGTTCTTGTATGATCTAATGTGATCTTATTTGACCATATGTATATTATTGGACCAATCATTATTTTATAAATATAAGAATAAGTATAGGAGTTTTTACTATTCCTGCAATCTCATTAAATACGGAAGCGAACTAATTTTTATGGAGAACTTATTTTGACAAATTTCATGACATAGGAAAAACTGATCACGCTAATACATCACTCCACCGCAACCAGTACATAGCGAGCAACTTCCAATCGTAAAATGTCAGTCCCACTAAATATTCCCAACATCCTTTCTTGGCGATATCCACGAAATTACGTGAGTCGTATATAGTACAATAAACTATCAGGTCTCGGATCGTTTATTCTCTGTTGTTTCCGGAGAAATTGATGTGAGTCAACTGCCTAAAAGAATACAAATGTCAAAAGGGGAGACTGCGGCGGAGCATCAGCTTAACGTTTCCGGCTGAGGTTGGCACGACGATGTACGACCGTCTTCTAAAAGAAGCAAACGTTGAAAGTGAAGATGATTCACTACGTGCCATGACCAGACGAGCTCTGCTCTGCCTCTCCAAGACAACTCGGTATCCTCACACAACCCGTCAGTAAGCGGCAAAACGGCTTACCATGACATGCGAATCTAAGTCATTTCTTGGTGACATATCTGCGCCTCTGAACGTACACCGCGCCGCCAAAACATAGCTTGGCGCGTAATTAAAAGAAAAAAAAAAAGAACAAGTGAACGCACTATCCGCATCTAAACACCGCTCGCCATTAAGAAAAAAAAAAAGAAATCTCCGTTGACCGTTGAGTTTACAGTGCTGTGGGAGTTACGCGCTCACCGAACCAATCAGCCGCCATATTTATCATCACTTGAACCCGCTCCCTGTATGTGTGTATGCACGGAAGCGTAATCACGTGACTAAAGACAGCATAATACTGGTCCGACGAGCACGTAGCCTCCACCGTACTATCAGTTCAGGAATGAAAGGAGTATATAGTCCTTCCCGAAAAGAAACTCGTGAGCCCGTCTCAGAATATAGTCCCAACAGCGATCCCCGAATGCCAGTCAAGCGATAGCAACAGCCCCTTTCGGTGCATATTTCCTGCCAGTGTGAATAATCCCTGTTGCTCAGGTTTGGGAGACTATAAGCCGCTGAGGCGCTTAGCGTGCCAGAAGGGCTTAAAGAACTGAGAAGGTGGGGGAATGGGCATTTTTCAGGATTTGGCCACGATCGAGGCGAACCCTCGCGGGAATCGTTCAATACACTTTTGGGGGTTAAGGGACCGTCGCTTTGCCGACCGCGGCAGCGCGTGACTTGTCTCTTGGTGCGTGTACGTACGTGTCTTTGCTGGTGGCCTTGTTCCGTCATAAACTATTCCGAACGTGTCTTTCTGTCGTATCTCCGTGTGCATCTTTTCTTTGAAATGGATGAGGACGACCCTGGAGATTTAACGAAGGCCACTGTCTACGATACAGGCGATCTTGTTTATATTTATACATTTAAGTATCAATAGACTGCCGACGCCGCATAGCTTCCTACCGTCGACTCCGACCTGCAGCAGAACAAGCGTTTGCCAGGTCCACCAACGCTGTTCCGGCTCCGCCAGGATCGCGACCGGCAACAGCATGACATAGGTAATCTAGACTGCAGAGGGAGTTCATCTCAAACCATGGGGAGCATTTACAGTATAATGGCGGACATCGCCGGCGGCGATCAATCGCAATTGCGCACGCTTTGCGTTTTTGCGTATTCGCGACTCCAGCAAAACGGACGCCGCCAGGCGGGAAAACCGGGAACCAGTTGGTCCAGGTCGCTCCGCGCCCCGCCGCGTCTCTGATGGCTTTCGCGGACACGTGCTGTCGGCGCGGGGGCCAGCAATGTAATTTGACGAAGGTCCGAAAATTTCTTAAGTTTGTTTGAGTGTTCATTAGTGTGGTGAAGTCTCAGTAGATTGTTTCTTTCCATCACGTGTTTGAAAGACGGTTTACTCCACAACACACGGTCGCGTGCTTTCAATTTTTTGGATGAGGAGGAATCACAGAAAAACGTTTTGATTTCTCGTCTGTCTCTAATCACATTCAAAGTGACGACTGGTTGGTAACTGATAAGTGGTTTCTTTATAAGGATGTAAAACAGTGGACTGAGTTCGACAGACGAAGTGTTTCACTGGAGGGAACACCAATGTTGCAGTCAAGTGAATGGGAAGGTTCGATAGCTGCTTTCCTTGAGTTTGGTTGTGCTCGATTAGCTTCAGGTTAATTCAGCCACTAACGCCGGCCGGTGCGTTGGCTATTCATCTTAGCGGCTTTTCGCCGAAAAAGATCACATTGAAGGAATTGGGCTAATTTCGCAATTACTTGATTCAGAAAACCTGCTTGCTGCATATGATTAATGAGGGAAATTATCTGCTTTCAAAAGGTGGGGGACGCGTCTTGCAAAGTTAGAAGCTGTCACGTCATTAGGATCTATCGCGCCTCCAATATTTATATTATAACCCCTGTCGAAGCCAGCAGCAATATACGTCTACATTGCTCAGGTTGACCGGCCACAAAAAAATACTCATTTTATCCGTTCAGGATTCGAAGTCAAGTTCAATGCACAGAGAGGTTCTGCGTGAATCTCCAATGAAGACTCTCTTCAGTTTGTCTGCACTCGCCTCCGTTCTACCGGCTAGAACCATTTGGCTAAGTTTAAGTAGTATCTCTCTGTCTGTCAAATATACTTTTATTCAGCAGTTCACCTAATAGTTAGTTAACTAAGTTCATATTTCAACCCGAAGAACATACTAATATCGCTTTAGTGGGACATAGTACGTAATATAATACATAATCCGCATATTCGTCAAAATGACTTCTCGATTGCTACTAAAACCTGAATTGAAATACGAGTATCACTTGCTTAGTGAAGCGCCAGTGAGTTGACATGCTGCTTGGCTCAAGAAGCGCTTGCTTAATTTTTGTAATTTTCCTGCAGCCTGTGTTCTTGACCGAGCACACGACTGGAGCTGTTTCTTGAAACGCGGACAGGCACAAAAGCTCAATTTCGCGGACAGATAAATCGCATGGTCGAGGCATGCGAGTTAGCTAAAACTTACTCTCGGTGGAACAATTTTGTAGCCCTCGCCGCTTTCCATAGATGATCAAAACTAATTAGAGTCTATTACCGTTTCTCCGAAGCCCATAGTTTCGGTTTTGATCGAAGTCTCCGAAACGAAAGTTTGACATGAAAAGAACAAAAAACACCGGCAAAACAAAACAATGCTCGGCAAGTTTATGCGCACCGGCTACACTTAACAGTCTCAGTTCAAATACCCATAAAATTGGGCATTCAACAAAAGAAAATTTGTTAAATTGAA